CATGAGAGGAGCTCGAAAGTAAAAACTAATTATTGATTAACATTGCATACATAAATGACCTTCCAAAAATATTGAAGTATTCAAATATTTTAATGTATGCTGATGATACTGTTCTTTTTTGTCTGATTTCAATATTGAATCTATTAATAGCCAGTTACAAGCAGATCTTCAGACATTTCATGGTTGGCTTCAAGATGATCTTTTGTCAATTAATGATAAAAAAAACTGTGTGGATGTATTTTTCCTCACCCAGGAGACATTTCAGTATAACAAATCAACTCACTTTTTTAAACAAACCCCTTGATATTGTCACTACCTACAAATATCTTGGAATTACTTTGGATTCTCATTTGACTTATCGTGATCATGTACAAGTCTTAACCACTAAGTTGAAACAGAAATTATACGTTTATTCAAAAATTAGATCCAATCTGACATCTTCTGTTTCAAATATCTATCTTCATGCCATTATACTCTCAACCATGTCATACTGTTTACCTGTTTGGTCTCTTACAACAAATGAAATCTTAGAACCCATAGATAGGCTCTACAACAGGGCCTACAAAATTCATAAAAAACTTCCTGGTTGGACTCATCACTGTACAGTTCTTTCATTGTCTGATGCCTTGACTTTTCAGAATTATGTTTTGTATAGTGGTATTAATTTATATTTTCAGATCTTCCAAGGTGCCARTTATGGAACTCTCTGTGCAATGTTGCTCAAATCAAATTCTGGAAGTGGTCATTCAACTAGATCTGTTACAAAAGGACAACTGATATTACCAACTTTTAAAAACTGTAACGACCAGAGGTCTTTCTTCTATGTTTATACTAAAGCATGGAATGACATTCCTCAAAACATAAAGTCCATTTCAAAACTACAGCCCTTTAAGAAGAATCTTGTCTGCCATCTGCTGGACACTTTTTGTTGTGCTCATATTTAGACATCCTATTTCACAAATGCTGCCTTTTTGAAATTTGGTGTGCTTGTTTGTGTCTATGGTGTAATAATAATGATGTGATTGTGATGCTGTAATTCTGAGTGTTTTATGTGCTGCAGAACAGGAACCTGCTGGAAAAACAGCAATTATGCTGAGTCAGGCTTGATTTTTAATAATCTTTTCCTGTTAAATAAATAAATCAAATCAAATCAAATCAACAAAGAAAAAAACTGCTGTAGAAGAAAAAAACTATACTTACAAAAAACTCAGAGGATCGCAAGAGACTCAAAGGAACAAACCTTATGTGGCATGAAGCCAAGGCAGAACTGAGGAACCAGCAGAAAGACTCAAAATACAAAAGCACTAAAGAACACAATACAAACACCTGGCAGGGAGACAAACTGGTACAAGTGAGAGTGGGCAGGGCAAGAGTAGAGGTTATTCCTTTGCTTCCATAGGTTGAAACTGACCACATATCCTCACTGCTGTCTTTAGCCTCTACATTTGTTTTAATTACTCCTATCAATAACATGCCTTTCTGTCTCTGTTCCAGAGGAAAATACATCTGAACCTGTCCTGTGTTTGTCTGTGTCCCTTTCCTGTCCCCACAAACCCAGCTGGTCGAGGAAGATGGCCAGTTGTCCTGGTTCTGATTCTGCTGGAGATTTCTTACTGTTAGAAGGATGTTTGTGGCTGTGTCCAAATTCAGGGGCTGGGTACTTTGAAGGACCCCGCCTACCTGGTCTAGGTGGGCCGAGTCCTTAATTGACMGCAAAAACTGGAAAAAAATGGCTGTGAATTTGGATGGTCTAGCCTTCTGCTTTATTACTACTCTTACCTTGGTATATGTCTTGTCACCTAACAACCATAACGGGTAACAAGGAGGATGCATTTGTCGGATGCATCGGAGGAGTCTTCAAATTTGGACTGCCTCCTGCGCCGGGCAGTGTCACATAAGCAGCTGACAAATTTGGCCCATGGAGGACACAGCCCATGAGTTTGGACACAGCCCTTCCGCATCACTGCTTCCAATGTGCAGCTCAGGATGGGAGACTGCAACTAAGGGATTCAACACAATCTGCTGGCTTCCTTAGATTAATAGTGTTTTTTTTTTGTAGTCCTGAGACAAGGTTTGTTGTGACTTGGCACTATGTAAATAAACTGAACTGTAGTGAATTGTTAGTGGTGGTCAGCTGAAGCAATGAAATGAGAAATGTGATGTTGTGAGGATCTGTGGTTTTGTATCTTGTGTTCGACCTCCCTCTTTCTCGTTGTCATCACATCCTTCTCTCCTCAGCTGTCAACCTATCATTTCCTCCTCAGTCACTGCTCACCTGTAAGTAATTTCTAATTAGTTCTTTCCTTAGCTGTTGCCCATTATCCTTCCTGCCTCAGTATATATTCTGTCTCATTTGTTTACACCTTTGCTGGATCATTGTATGGCTTGCCCATCTGTCTTTGGTTTTCCTCATTGTCCCCCAGTGTTATTGTTTATTTGCTGCACTGTCAGCCTTTTGTTTTGTAAAATAAATATTTTCATTTTTAACTTTGTCCTCCATCTGGATCTGGGTTCATTCTTGGACACTAACCTGACAGAATGATCCAGCCAGTTTCAAAACCCACCAGGAGGATTAGTTCTCTTGAGCTCCTCAAGGAGGACTCCAGTGATTTTTGCCTCCTTGAGGATTTCTCCCCATAGAGGCGCTCAAGATCCAGAGGAACACTCATGACTTTTTAGACGCCAGATGTTCTGCTGAGGACTTGTGGAGGAGGTGGGTGGTGACCGAGGCATTTATTGAATTATTTATTCAGTATCCGAACCTCGCCATATACCCTGGCATGATGGACCTGTTTGATGAGGCTCTGCATGACCAGGAACTTCTTCGTGTGGCCCTTCTTCCCTCTACTGATCTTCCTCCACCATCACCGCCACCAGCAGAAGAGGAGGATCAACCAGGTCCCTGCTCCGACGAGCCACCAGGTTCCTGCTCCGTCGAGCCACCAGGTCCCCGAGTCTCTGCTCCATCGAGCCACCAGATCCCTGCTCTGACGAGCCACCAGGCCACTCCACGTCCTGTGCTGTCAGCACCTCCGCAAGGATCAACGCCTCTACAGCCACCTGCGCTTCGGAGAGGTTCGACACCTCCACCACCATCTGCGCTCTGGTGAGGGTCGACGCCTCCACCACCATCTGTGCTCCGTAGAGTGACGACGCCTCCACCTCATTTGTGGAGGGTCTTGGGGGGTGGGGTGGGGAGTGGTGGTGACCACCCCTGCTGCAGTTTCGGTGCTGGCCACCATATTCGCAGCAGTCCTGGTGGAGGTCCTCCTACCTGCACCAGATGAGCCCTCAACACCTGCTGCAGCTCCACCTGAGGTTTCAGAATCAGCACCTAAGCCTCCAGAGCTGGCTCCCCCTGAGTCTCCGGGTGGGATTGTAAAGTCCTCGGGTCTGCCTGAGTCTACGCCGGCTTCTGCTCCCAAGTCCACATCGGCCTCTGCTCCAGCTGAGACCTCGCGGCCTGTAGCTGAGGTCTCCACGTTGCCTGCAGATGAGGTCTCCATGTCGCCTGCAGATGAAATCTTCACGCCGCCTGAGCTCTCATCCCCAACTGCAGCACCCGAGCTCTCTCTGCCTACYCCTCCAGATTCCCCTCTGCCAGTCCTTCCAGAGTCCCCTGAGCTCCGTTTTCTCAGCAGCCGAGCTCTGAGCCGCCCTCCTGAACTCCATCCTCGTCAGGGCCAGGCTCCGGGCTRCCCATCTGAGATTCGTCTCCTCCACGGCCGAATCCCGGGTTGTCCTCCAGAGCTCCATCCTCGTCGTGGCCGGGCTCCAGGCCACCCACCAGAGATCCATCTCCTTCGCGACCAAGTCCCGAGCCGCCCTCCAGAGCTTCGTCCCTGAAGCGGTCAGGTCCACGGTCGCCTTCCAGAACTCCGCCTTCACTGCGGCCGGGTCCAAGGTCACCCTCCAGAGCTCCACCTTCGCTGCGGCCAGGTCCACGGTTGTCCTGATGTCCTGCCTTGTCTGTTTTGAGTCCCTGGGCGCCCACCTGAACTTCCTGCACCCTTCAGATGTGCCTAGGGCCATCCTTGTGACTGTTTTTGTTTTTTCCCCAGGGTTTCCTGTCGGTTTTTGTTTTTGTTTTATGTATTTCTTTGTGCTTCTGTTTTTTGTGTCTTGTGTTCCCTGCGGTCTTTGTCTCGTGCCCACCATCTTGTGCTGCTGTACTCCCCTCTGCCCTCCCATGTCTAAGTTCTTGTCAGTCGTCTGGAGACAATCCATTGAGGAAGGGGCACTGTGAGGATCTGTGGTTTTGTGTCTTGTGTTCTACCTCCCTCGTGTTCTCTCGTTGTCATCACATCTTTCTTTCCTCAGCTGTCAACCTGTTATTTCCTCCTCAGTCCTTTAAGTAATTTCTAATTAGATTTTTCCTCAGCTGTTTGTCAGAGCTTAATGGAAGGATGGACCCAAATGCAGGCAGTTTCCTAATAATGAAAAATATTTACTAAAGAAAAATAAAAAGCTGGTGTGGCAGCAAATAAAGTCCATGGCTTGGATTAAATAACAAAAACTAATACATGAACAAGAGGACCAGGACAGAAAACAAACAGAAACAAACAATGAAYGGACGAAGGTGGAGAGCATGAAAATCAGTATAAGTAGTCAGAGGCTAAGTGGAGAGTGGAGACAGCTGTGATAATTAGGAGTGAAGACAGATGAGCAGAATGATCTAGAAGGGCTGAATAATCTGAGGATTAAGATGACAAGGCATGAAATGAACACTAGATGGAAGCACAAGACAAGAGCAGAAAACACACAAAACACCAAATCCTCACAGTACCCTCCCCAATGATCGTCTCCAGACGATGACCACACAATCACGGGAGGGCGGAGGATGTACAAAAAAAAMCCCCAACAAAACAGGATGGAGGGCAAGAAACAAAACTACAAAGCAGATGAGACATGGGACACAAAAAAAGGCTAAGATGGGTAAACAAAAAACCGACAGGAAGGTCCTGGGAAAAATTTAAAATGGAAACATAAAAAGTCTTAAGATGAMAGGAGGCAAGTTCTCTAGAGGTCTGCCTGGAGCTCGGCTGAAGCGAGGCTGTGTCTCTGGAGCTCGTTGGGACGCTGGCTCAGGAGACGTGGACACTGGCTCTGGCTCAGGAGACGTGGACGCTGGCTCTGGCTCAGGAGACTGGACTCGACCCGGGGACTTTACAGTCCCACCCGGGGACTCAGGAGACTGGATCTCTGTAGATTCGATCTCTGTAGCCTCTGTAGACTCGTGGACTGAAGACTCTGTAGACTTGAACCCTGAAGGTGGCGGCAAGTGGTCGTAGTACTCTGGACAAAAAGGGTCACTTTCAGGATCATAGTCCGGATCGTACTCCGGTTCAGATTCTGAGTAGTCAAACTCAGGATACAGGACCAGACGAAGGCGATGACGAAGATGATGCAGGACCAGACGAAGGCGATGACAAAGATGATGCAGGACCAGACGAAGGCAATGTTGGTGATGACAAAGATGATGCAAGACCAGACGAAGGCAATGTTGGCGATGACAAAGATGATGCAAGACCAGACGAAGGCAATGTTGGTGATGATAAAGATGATGCAAGACCAGACGAAGGCAATGTTGGTGATGACAAAGATGATGCAGGACCAGACGAAGGCGATGACAAAGATGATGCAGGACCAGACGAAGGCGATGACAAAGATGATGCAGGACCAGACGAAGGCGATGACAAAGATGATGCAGGACCAGAC